GATTTTTAAGATCCCCAAAAGTGAGATAAAGAAACTAAACCATGTGTGATTAGCACACCTCACAGCATCAGGTGCCACTCATCCTCTGGGAGGAAGTGAGGGGTGGGGAGAGGAGCAACTTCAAGAATAATTAAGCTAGCAAATCTACATGGAAACGGTAGGAAGGAGGGGTAAATGTTCTTTAACATCGTATTTTAGGGCATGTTGTATGTGAGGTAACTGGTGGAGTTGGGGAGGGTGGAGAAGTAAAAGCACTGTCCCATGTGACTAAGTAGAGTTGGAGCATGTGGGCTAGCCCTCCGTGCCTCACTGTCTGTACAGTACTCATCATGTCACACCGCCTTCAAAAGTAAATGACCACGTGATCTCCTGAGTCTTTTTCTCATTCTCATAGGTTTGTCATGTAGGTTATGCAGCTGCCAAAATTCAGACTACTCACTGGAGTATTTAGATTCTGGCTGCAGTGGTTTGGGTGAGCAATGGCACCACCAGGCAATGTCCTGTGCCCGTTTCACCTTAGTAGTAGTGTGTGGCCGTATGCTAATAAACATGGACATTTACCAGTACTCAAGCACACGCATGTGTTAATACACATGATACTTATACTGTTAGGATTATGACAGACAATACGATTATGGTAGTATGTTACATTGATTTAATAAATATTGTTGGAATTTCACTTTATGGGCGATGTCAGAAGTTAGCAAACATAGTTCTAGACAGGGGGCTGCAGTGTGGTGGGAAGGAGTATGTGCCACCACATGCTTCTAATCCTGTCCCAAGTGGCCCAAGTGGGAAGGAGTATGTGCCATTTATGGAACTAATCCTGTCCCAAGTGGCCCAAATATGAAGGAGAGGGAAGGGGCTGGGCTAGATCTTAGAGGGTCTTGTAGGCAGCATTAAGATAGTTGGCATTTAAGAGCAGACTAAAGGGTTTTTAACTGAGGGGAGGTAGTATGATTAATGCTTGAAAAATGTCTTTCGGGTTTTAGTGAGTGGATCTGAAGGAGATGCCATAAGGATGTTTTTCTAGTAGAATGCAGCAGTAGGCCAGAGACAGTGGTGGCTTAGAGCAGGGTAGTAGTAGTGGCAATGGAAAGGTGGAAAGATCCAAGAAATTTAAGAGAGAAAGCTGGTAGAAGTGAGTCTGGATCGATGCTGGGGTGTGCAGAGGAAAGTGGTGATTGGAACTGTTCTAAAGTTCTGCCGTAAATAGAATATGGGTCTACTCACTGATACTGGGAGCACAGGAAGAGGAATAAATTTGTAGGAGGCAGAATTTAACTTTACCCCAAGACATGCAGAACTGAAATGCCAAAGAAGCATGCACGTTGGAATGTCCTATAGACAGTGAATTACTTGAGTCTGAACCTCAAAAGGAGAGGTTTTGGCAAGAGGCAGGGCTGGGATAGTTAGCCTAGATGATTTGAAGTTGTAGAGGTATGTGAGTGCTTAGAGAAGCGCTTCTCAACGGGGACTGCACATTGCTATCACTTGTGCTTTAAAGAAATGCTTCCAATGCCAAGGATTCTGAATGAATTTATTTCAGATAAATAATTGGATGTTGGGTTACAGAAGCTCCCCTGCCCTTGAAGGGGCTCAGGGTGAGACTGGAAGGGTAACCAAGATTGAGCCTGGAGGAGCACAGATAGTTAATGACCAAGGGAGGATGAGTCTGTGCAAGAGACTAAGTCATGTAGTGTCATGGAAGTCAGTGAAACAGTGGCCAGCAGAGGCTAGCCCTGCTTAGAAGCCAGTTAACTGTAGAATTTGGATTTTGCAGTGTAGAGGTATAATTTTGCTAATATAGGGAGAGGTATCAGTGGAAAGGTGGGACAGGAGCTGTTTGGAGTGGGTTAAGAAATGCAAGGAAATGAAGAAAGCTAGTATTGGCAACTTTTTAAAAGTGTTGGGGAGAAAGACAGCTTGGAGTCTAAGAACTTTGCTGTTGGGTTAAGGTATTTTTGACTACATGTAACAAATGCTGATTCAGTTATTTAAATGGTGGAGAAAATTACCTCATTCAGGAGTTCTGGAAGAAGGTGGTTCTAGGGTTATGGACTCCGTGGCTCAACACTATCATCAGAGACTCAGGTTTTTCCAGCCTCTCTGTGTGACTTGGTCGTGAGGCTGCCTACTTAGGATGCTGCTGTAATTCAGACATCAAACCTGATATCTCCAATAGAAGGAGGACAGTCTTTTCTTATAGTCACTTTTTGATTTTTTTTTTTTAAGTATACAAACCATAATTGTGTAGTGTGAATTTTCAGGAATCAAACAACTGTAACCAGCACCAAGATCACAACCCAGGTACCCCAGAAGTGCCCCTTGTTCTCCTTCCAGTCACGACCCAACTCCTCCCCAGGATAACTACTATCCTGACCTTTATAGGTTAGTTTTGCCTATTGTCGTGCAATATAAATGGAATCACATATTATGTGCTCTTTTATGTTTGGCTTTCAGCATTGTTTTTGAGATCCATGTTGCATGTAGTTGTAAAGTGTTCATCTATTGCATGAATATACCACATTTTATCCATTCTATTGTTGATGGGCATTTGGGTAGTTTCTAGAATTTGGCTTTCACAGACGGTGATATTGTGAACATATGCATTCATTTCTGTTAATTGTATAGTTGAGTGGAATTGTCAGAGCAGGGTATGCTTTTATTCAGCTTTAGCACATAGTTTGCTGTGTGGTTGTATCATTTTACACTCTTACTGGCAGCATGTGAGAGTTTCAGTTCCATGTCCTCACCAGCACTTAACATTTTACATCTTTAGTTTTAGACATTTGGGTGTGTAGTGGACTAGTACTGTGATTTTAATTTGCATTTCATAAGTCAGTTAATATTTAAGTTGAGCATCTTCTCATATGCTTATTGACCACTTGGATATTGTTTTGTAAAGTACTTGTTTAACTCTTGCTTTTGCTTTTTTTAAAATTTTTTTGTCTCCCCCCTCCTTGAGTTGAAAGTCTTCTTTATAGGAGTTTTTTGGTATTCTGAATATTAGTCATGGTCAGACATATGCATTGCAAATACCTCCTCACACCCTGTGGCTTGCCTTTTCACTCTTGATGTTTTCTTTTCATAAATTAGTCACAGAGAGAGAAAGCAAAACAGCTACTCCCAACAGAGCCTTCACACTGTGATCCATCCCCAGCTTCAACCAGCCCGCACCATGGACATGCATATGTGTGCCTGACATGTATGCGGTAGTCCTGGGGCATGAACCAGGGCCTTCCCACATGGGTCCAGCTCACAGGGTGTTGCCTTGCACCTGCATCACCGCTAGCTTCTTCTAAAACTTGGTTTAACTTTTATATTTATATTTATAATTGGTTTTTGTATTCACCGTAAGGTAAGGTTCAAAATTCACATGAACATTTGCTTGACCTAGCATCATTTCTTAAAAGATACTATTTTCTTCATTCACTGAGGTGCTACCCTTGTTATAAATCAGGAGAGATTATATAGTAGGACCCAGGTCTAGGTTTTCTGTCCTATTGTTGTTCAGGTTATCTGTCCTTACATGGACTTTCTTTTTCTTTTTTGAAAATAGCTTTTTAGTAAATATTGCTACCTGGTAGTATAAGTTCTCTAGTTTTGTTCTTCCTTGTAATCTTTTTATTTTTACATTATTTTTATTTTTGGAACTTTCGCTTTAGGGTGCATGTTCTCATTGGAAAGAGACAGAAAGAGGAGAATAAGAAATCATCCCCTGGGGGATAGGCACACCACAATCCCTTCTCCACTTTTCTCTTGAGATTTTGGGTATACATGCACACTTGCCAGGTGTGTTTTTTAGGCTACCGAGTTGTGGAATCAGCCACATGAAATCCAGCTGCCTTAACCACCACATTGCCTGTTGGCCCTGTTTTTATTTTTAACGTATCTTATACAAGACAGAGGCAAACAGAGAGATACAAAGTCTTCCCAGCTTGGCCTTTAGTCCGCTAGGATCATAGGTGTTTACAGGTACCCCCAGCATGTTCAGGTCAACCCAGGATTTGAACCCAGGTCTCCCATGTGCTTCTAGCGTTGTACGGCAATGCCCTACTGCCTGTCCCACATTTGGTCCTGTGATCTCTTTTTAACTTAATTTAATAAGAGTGATGGATTAGTATGCGTGTGAATTTGAGTTGAGAGTCAGTGAATCTTAAATAGGGAAGTGAACCTGAAAGTGAATAAGTCAGTGTGTAGGGTACCCGGAAAGATAGTAGGAGTAGTTGAACAAGTAAGATGGAATAAGCAAAGTTATAGGGGAAAGTTGGATGCCTGAAGTAATGGTTTTGGAGTTGGAACAGTTTTGAATGGGGCTAAGTTTCCCAGGAGTACAATGGTGGGTGACTGAATTGGAGTAAGGAGGTCATTGAAGATAAGACAGGAAACAGAGACTAGGTACACCACAGTTTACAAAATATATTTTCTAACCAAATGTCTAACTTATCGCCCTCAAAACAGGTAGAACAATTCTTATCCTTATTGTACACACTAGAAAGTGGACCATAGAAGTTAATAACTTTCTGAAATTCTCAGGTGAAATAGAGATTAAATTGGAGTTAGGCCAGGCCTCATGTCCCAGCTTCCATGCTCTGTTCAGTATAGCTTAGCTGATGTGTTGTATGAAGAATCCAAGAGTTACATTTTCGGAGATCAAAAGTCTTATTAATATGTATATACGTTTTCCCTAGATAGGTGTTGTTAAGATTTGTGCAGGAAATGCTCCAGAAATGTTAAAAACAGTTATTCGTGGATGTTGTGATTATGACTTTGGGTGACGTTTTTCCTTTGTGTGTGTGTGTGTGTGTTTGTTTTTTTCTGTATTTTCCAAATTTCCTATAATGGACATACAGTAATAGATTTTAAAAATTAAGTTTTTTTAACTAGATAATACACATTGAAAATTAACGGAAGTGCCAGTAGATATGCAATATTGAATACTTTTTACAATAAAAGAATGCAGGTGCTGAAATAATTTTATTTCTTGTTCTTTCTAGAAATGCACTTGGTGATGGAAAGAGAGCTACTATTCTGAAAAACACTTGGCCAAAGGTAGATTTCTTCTATATTTTCCTTTGAGCATAAATGTGTTTACTGGATGTGTTTGTACATAAAAATGCTAGATGAAATTGTGCAGAGCTCAAGAATGTGAAAAGGAACTCCAGTTCTGTGGTGAGAATGAGGCTTACTGCAGCAGGGAGAGGCTATGTTGGGGAGGACGAGTCATGAGAACCTTGAGGATACCTTAGCAGTCCAGAGGTAAAGAGTAATGTCTGTGCTTCGTGGGTGAAAAATGAAAATTAAAATCTTACAAGAAACTGTAGGAAACTATCCTCATAACCTAGAGGTTGGACAGATTTCTTAAGTAATACACAGTGTGCAAATCAGTAAAAAAAGAAACAACCTTGATATATTTGACTACTTCAAACTTAAAAACTTCTATATGTTAGAAGATGCAATGAATGAAATTATACACTGGGAGGAGATAATTGGTCACATATAGAACGTATATCCGATAGAATTTATTGTTATGTCCAAAATATGCAAGGAACTCCTCAAATAAGGAACCCAGCAGAAAACGGGCCGATAAAAGAAGCATTTTGCGGAAGAGTAGTACTGAATGGCCAGTAGAAATAACAAACAAACAAACAATGCTTTAAAATAGTTTGTTTGTAATTAAAATTATAGGGGATTGGTACACAGATGGAAAAATGAAACAGGGCCAATCTATGATTTGTTGGTAAGGTGACTGGATTGTGGATCCAACATGGCTGACTGCATGGTTTGAAAAACATGCTGGATGCACGTGCATGTGCCCAAAAATCCCAAAAGAGGGAGAAATGGAAAAGGGATTGTGGTATGACTATGTGAAAGGATTGTGGTATGACTTCTGGATTGTGGTATGACTATCAGAAGTCATACCCTATAGTGGGGTGCCCACCCCTCCACGAACACGTGTGCCCTTTGTCAAAATTGGGGAAAAAAGGAAAGAAAAACAATACCAAAAGAACAGAAAATAGGGCCTCTACACAGGCTCATAGGTACTTGAGAAAATAAAGCGGTGTGATAGTGTTTGAATCCTTGACCCTTCAGACTGGCAGAAATTAAAGAGACCAATAATTCTGAGTGTAAGTGAGGTTATGAATTGCTTACAACCAGCCAGAAGAGCACTATGATAGCATACCCCATAATTACTTAATTTTAAGTGTGTGTACCCTCAAAAATCTCTTCATATGCACACACGGTGAGATATACAAGGTTGGTCATTGCAACCTTTTATTGGCATAGAACTGTAGCCCAAATTATCAGTGATAAAGCAGTGGATGAATATGATATTTTCACTATATCAAAGTTATTACTTTGATCTGATCTGTCTCCTGTCTTAAACTCATTCTTTTTCTAATCTCACTTCTACTACTCTCTCCCTGGTTTACTTCATATTGGCCCCTAAGGCTCCTCCCTCTTCCTCAGACATCCTAGGCTCACTTCGACTTTATGCTTACGCTTCCCTCTGCTTAGAGTGCTTTTCCCTAATAGCTAACTCGCTTATTTCTTTTCATTCTTGACTGAAAGTCCACTCAATGAAACCTTCCCTGACTACATTAATAAAATCCCCTTTTATAGACATTTCTTACCCTCTTTCTCTGTTTTACTTTTTTCTCCTCTTATTACCAAACACACTATATCACTACTTAAGTAATTTTATTTGTGTGTCTTCCACTATAAGCTCCCCAATGTAAAGTTTCTTGGTTTGTTTGGTTCACTCCTGAATTTGGACTCACCAGTTGCTGGTATATAGTAGGTACTCAGTAAATATTTGTTCAATAGTCACCTGCTAGTTGAAATAAAATGAGTTAACTGGCTTGTCTTCATTTATATATTTAGCAAATAGTGTTAAATAAAAAAGTGAGTAGAAGCATAATGTAGGATGAAAAAAGCATAATGTTGGCTTAAAAAAAAAACACCTCATGACAGTGTTTGCTTTGGGACAAGGAGAAAGGGTAAGATTAGAAAGGATACGGAAGAGATTTCAGCAATACTCACATAGTTTTATTTCTTTACTTAAAAAAGAATGTGAAGCAACTATAACAGTGCTAACGGTTAATTATGGATGATTGTTACATTATTCTGTATTCTTTTTTTTATTGTAGAGGTTTTTGCCTTAGGGTGCGTGTGCTTGCCAGAGAAAGACAGAAACAGTAAGAGGGAAAGTGAGAAACAGACAATGAGAGATAAAGTGAGAAATCATTCCCCCACACCCAGGGGGATGGTCACGCCACAATCCCTTCTCCTCTCAGGATCTGGGTCACATACACACATGCACCTGGCATGAGTTTCTAGATGCTGGGTCTGGAACTCAAACTGTGGTCGGTCATGTGGGAGTCCAGCATTGTAACCATTACACCATCTGCATACACTGTTTTGCCACTTGCGTGCCCTTTTCTTTTTTTTTTTTTTTTTTTTTTTTTTTTTTTTTTTTTTTAAGAAAGAGATCTTTGTTCTAGGGTGCATGTGTTTGATGGAGAGAGAGACACAGAAAGTGAGAAATTATCCCTCAGGGGTGATGGCCATGCTGCAGTCCCTTCTCCGCCGTTCTCTCAGGATTTTGGGCATGCATGCACATGTGCCCTGTGTGAATTTCAAGCTGCCAGGTATGGGACTCAAACCATAGTTGGCTATGTGGGAGTCTAGTAACGTAACCTTTATGCCCTCTGGTGGTTCCCCATTCTGTATTCTTAAATCATAAAAATACCCAAAATTTTAAAGTGGAACTTTAATTAAGACACAGACACCTATATTTCATATATCATTCCTGGGTTTTACATATATATATTTTTGTTTTGTTTTGTTTTTTTGAGAAAGATTTTTGCTATAGGGCACATGTGCTCGCCAGAGAGACAGAGAGAAAGCGAGAAATCACCACCCAGGGAGGATGGCCATACCACAATCCCTTCTCCTTCATTCTCCTCTCAGGATCTTGGGCATGCATGCACACACTCCCAGCATGAGTTTCAAGCTGCAGGGTCTGGGAGTCGAACTGTGTTTGACTACATGGGAGTCCAGCAATGTAACCACTATGCCATCTGCTGGTCCCTTACATATTCTTTTTAAAACCAAAGTGAGTAGAATCAGAATTTTAGTCTTAAAAATTTAATCTCATTTATTACGCTTAGATAAACCTCATTAGAAGGTACAATGAAGTTTATGTAAACCTCATTGATTTTAAGAATTCATTTTGTCTTTTAAATTTATCTTTTTATTTATATTTTAAGTTGCACATGATGCAAAGAAAAGCAGAGTGTAGAAGATGTAAAGTGGGCCAGCCATTGGCATGTTTAAGGCTGCTGTCTCCCAAATGGCCAACTGTATGGTTTGAGCTGGCGGCCTGAAATATATGGCAGCTCCTTGTGTGTGCATGCCCAAAATCGCAAGAGGAGAATGGAAAAGAAGGGATTGCAGCATGGCCATTCCCCCGAGAGTGCTTTCTCACTTCTTTTTCTCTCTCTCTGTCCCTCTCTAGCAAGCACATACACCTTGTAGCAAATTTTAAAAAAGAAAAAAGAATAAAGAGTATAAAGTGAAAGAGAAAAGTTAGCCTGGGGACCTTTTAAAATAATAAATTTCTTTGCTTCTATACCCCAAAATGTGATTCAGTTCTCCTAGGAGTTTATCTAGAAGTCTTGAGATTTGTAAAATTCTAAAGGTGAAATTCTGTATCTAAATTTTGGAGTCATTTTCTTAAATGCCTCATTTTATAGATGAAAAAAATTGAGTTCTGGAGAGGTAAAGTGACTTTTTCAAGGTGTCATTACAAGTAAAAGACAAAACTGGATTGAGAGTCCAGTAATGGATGATACTTTTGTCCCCAGATGTTCAATTTCTTGCTATTTTTATTATGAGTCTTTTCTTTCCTCTTTTTTCTTTTTATTTGCTATAGGGCATGTTTGCTCCTTTGGAGAGTGAGAGGGAAAGTAAGACATCACGTCCCAAGGGGCATGGCCACACCACAATCTCTTTTCCTCCATTCTTCTCCTGGGATTTCAGGCATGCATGCACACGTGCCTGGCATGAGTTTCCAGTGGCCAGGGCCAGGACTCACACCATGGTCAGCCATGTGGGATTCCAGCACCACAGCCACCAAGCCAGCTGCTGTTTGTTTCATGTTTTTACTGATTATTTTCAGTCTTTTCTTTAGCTTCCTGAACATTTGGAATACAGTTATAGCAACTATCTTAATGCTCTTGTCTATTAATTCTATTATCTGTGTCATTTGTGAATTATTTTAAATTGATTGATATCTTTTCTGTTCCTTTTTTTTTTTTTTTTAAAACAGGGATTTTTGCTATAGAGCATGTGTGCTCTCCAGAGAGACAGAAAGTGAGATTATTCTCCAGGGGGGACAACCACCCTTCTCTTCCAGTCACACACATGCACCTGGCATAAGTTTTAAGCCATTGGGTCCAGGACTTGAACCATGGTCAGCTACGTGGGAGTCCAGTGATATAACCATTATGCCATCTGCTGGTCCCTTTTTCTCTTCCTTTAAGTCATATGTCCTTCTTTGCATACCTGGTAATTTTTGATTGAATGCCACATGTTGTGAATTTTATCTTGTGCTGAATTCTTATGTTTTTAAAGAGAGATTTTTGCTATAGGGCATGTGCGCTTGCTGGACAGAGGAAGACAGAGAGACAGAAAGCGAGAATTACCCCTCAGGGGGATGGCCATACCACATTCCCTTCTCCTCCATTCTCATTCTGGGACTCTGGGAAACCATGCACACACTCCCAGCATGAGTTTCTTGAACCACTGTTGACTACATGGGAGTCCAGCAATGTAACCACCACTCCATCTGCTGGTCCCTCTTTTTTTCCTTTTTCTGTAGATATTCTTGAACTTTGTTTTAGGTCTAGTAAAGTTACTTAGAAACAGTTTAATTCCTTGACATCTTTTTTAAGCTTAGTTATATGGAGCCAAAATATCAATTAATGGCAATTTTTACCCTTTTATTATGGCAGAGCTTTTCTGAGTATTCTGCTTTCTGCTTCTTGAATTATGTTTTCCACTCTGGTTGTTCAGAACCGGAGTTATTCCTATTTCTGTGTGGCTTGGCTATTGTTCCTTGTTAGCCTTTCAGGTGATTCTTTCCTTATTCAGTGGCTCCAGTGCATATGCTGATCGGTACTCGGCTAAAGACTTGGTAAGCTGGGCAACCTGTTGAGCTTACCTGGTGTGCTTCTCATCTCTCAGGGGTCGCTTCCTTCTGTTGTCAGCATCCTGCAAGCCACGGTTTCATACTGGGTTGTGGACAGAATTCTGACTGGATTTTTGTTTGTTTGTTTGTTTTTTGTTTTTTAATCCCTTTTAAAGGGTCTAGACAGAATCACACCCGCAAACCTTAACAGACCATTTTGACCCATTAGTAACAGGATTTTTTCCTACATTTTGTCCCTGGCATAGTATTGGTGTATTTTTGTGATGTATATTAAGCCTCTTTATCACTGTTAAATACTTTTTTTTAAAATAACCTTCCTTTTTCATTCACTACCCTAGAAACTGTAAAACCTACCAATAACCTATAAGCCCCCACTTCCATATGTCCCACCTTTTTGGGCCAGACTAATGGAAAAACTCTTCACTAGATTCCAAATTTTCTTGCTCTCAAAATCAAATAAAAGGAACCACTGTACCTGATCACCCCAAGAGAAAGACATGTTTTATTTCCTCTACGGGCCTAGGTCATTCATATTCTGCTTAAAAATAAACCACATTAATTATTATTTTTACACAGTTGGTTATTTTCCGACAACGGGTTGTTGGAAAAGTCATGACGTATTTTTTTTCTACACAAAAATGCGTATAACTTTTCCGATGATCTAGTATCTTTGTCTTTTTTTGTTTGTTTCAGGTGGAAAGGTAAATCCAGTTTTAATTATTACATCTTGGCCAGAAGTGAGAGTTATGGACTCTGTTTGGATTTAAAAGAGAGTTTTACCATGTAATGGGAACCACAAACTAATATCCTTAATAAATGTTGTTTCCAGTAAAAAGAGAACCTCTCTTAGTATCTATATAGTATACCTGAAGGATGCCTCAGACTAATCCTGACTGAGTCATGTGTCCACTTTTGGATTGATCCTGTGACGTTGGAACTAGTGCATTTCAGTTGATCAGTCTCTTGGGTCATAGCCACATTCTTACCTACTTTGGGGGTAGAGTAATAGAATGGACAGTCCTACCATTACCGTGAGGAGTAGGAAATGGTGCCCCCCGCCCCAAATTCTGAAATGGGAT